CGGGGCTATTGTTATCTGTTGCTTTTCGTTGTGTTTCATTTGTTCGTCGAGTTTTTCTGGATGAAGTAGGGGATTTGTTCGGTGGATTTTTATTTTTTTTTTTGTGTGCGTTTGTGGAACGTTGTTGCCGATGTATGAGAAATTTAAAGGCAGGCGAATTGATGAATTTACGAAGGCGTTCGTGTTGGAAATTTAATTATGCCGGTGGACTGATGACTGTATTGCGATTGCAAGATCGTTCGCTATCGAATTTTGTTCGTTTAGAAGTGTATTTTTATCGATATGTTAGTCGATTATACTTTATAATGCTGCTGTATTCTGAGTTAACAATAATAACATCGACGATTTATGACATCGTACGATCTTAGCGATATACTTTAACGATAGGCTTTAACAATAAATAATGAAAAGTCTAATGCTAATGCCTAAATCAATGTACATACTTAAATTAGCTGGAATGCTTGATTGCAGAGGTTCTGGGCACTTTATTGTACAAAATAAAGGATACAAGTAGTTCAGAATTAGTCTGCAAACTGTTACCAAATTTTCATAGGTTTTCATAATTATGCATTTATAATGATAAAGTTTGGCAAGAATAGGAATTTGTTTGGATCTTAACACTGAAACAACCAAACCGGTTCAAATCACAGTTTTCACATATATTTTTTTCTTAAACGAGCCTGATCGACTTCGAGGTCATTGACGACGTGTTGGATTTTTCTTTTTATATTCTATTATATATATGATATCTCTTTTTTTATTATATTATATATATGATAATATATATAGGACTGACAGTCCACTCAACACTGTTAATAAAATTTGCAAACACGAGTAGCAAAACATAAAGCAGAAATTTACATTCGCTGCAGCTCCGTACTCTCGCCAGTGAGACCTGACACGTAAACTACGAATAATCCTCATCTATTCACGACAGACAGCCTTTTAACATGAAACGTATGTGATAGTAAGAATCCGCTCACGAGGATGGCACGGTGCGCGATTATCGCGGCGCTTCGCGACCTCGATAATTTACAAAATAATCAAGTTATAATACGACTCAGTCGGGTGCTCGATGCCACCTTTTCGCGTCCCAGTCGTCATATTGCCCCGTCCCGCAATCGTATGAATATTAAACAGTTTTTGAACTGTTGTACAATCGGTACATCCTCTGCGGGTTGTTAAGTATACACCAGGACCATGGGAGCCGCGTGTTTGTCTAGTAGAATTAGCGATGCAATTATGTACAGTAGTCGAGGAGTGACGTTCCGTTTTCTGAGACGCGCACAGAGAGGTAGAGAGACAGAGAGACAGAGGGAGAGAGAGAGAGAGAGAGAAAGAAAAAGAGAGGGCGAGAGAGACAGGGAGCGAGAAAGAGAGAGAGTGAGAGGAAGAGAGAGGGGAGAGAATGAGAGAGGGATAGTGTTAGAGACCCCGTATCCCAAAGGAACGTCAATGAAATACAAGCCGGCCAAACAACGTCAGCCAATCGCAAATATATTGTCGTCGACATGGCCGAACATTGTTACCAATTAACCGCTCCCCTGACGACCCACGCGAACAGTCCATTAAAATGCGCCGTACGGTCGCATTAAACTTTTAACGACGCAATAAAGTGACCAACGCCGGCCGTCGAAAAAAGCGCGCGTATTTTTCGGTCGTGTTTTAAATTACTTGCGTTCAACGAGAGTGTTGTTCGCGCGCTTTCCATGCGGGCACGATTCTGCAATATTTATTCCGTCCATAAAACAGGACGCGGCAACAATTTATTCAATTCTAATGCAATTTATAGCCACGTTCGATCAACGAACGTTACCAACAAACTTACTTCCCTCCGATTCCAATATTCCCCGCTGAAATACACAAGTCAACTTAACGCGAACAGTTAAGAATCATATTACAGAGAAGAATTACATTTTGCACAAAATCTTGGTTCCCGCGATCGTATATTCCTCGCCGTACAGCAGGGGTGTCAAACTCGCGGCCCGTGATGAACATTTTTGATGTCAAGTATCAGGACGTAAACAATAATTTAACTTTATATACGTTTATTACAATGTACTAGTCAAAATAAAAATATTTGCATCTATGAACATTGATTCTTCTTTTTTGCGACCCACCTAAAGTTAAGCATTGTTTATTTACTATTATGGTCCAAGTTTTAGCTTTTGAGTTTGACACCCCTGCCGTACAGCTTTCCGCGAGCGAACCGTTCGACGGTACGCCGAGAGAAATGATTTCATAATTCCATGAGAAAGAAAACGAAAAGAATGGGAGTCGCGAAGAGACGTAATCGCGGCATTAACGAAACCGTCGAATCGTTAGCGAAACATTTACCGGGAGCTACCGATTGAGGAACGACAGCACTTAGCCCCGGCGAGGACGCGCATCTGGACTCGCATTAGCAGAATCCTCCGAATTTACGCAAACGAGCCGACATTTATATCCGCACAAAAGTTCGCCCTTCCCGTTCGTGTCCTTAATTCTTCGGAACAAAGCAGTCGGGTCTTCCTACTCCCGGGCCAACAATTAACCCCTGTCCCCACCCACGGAATTGTATCCCCGGTAGCCGGTCGTGATTTCAAGTCTGGTCGTCTCGGCGTCTTTCATTCGGCGAAGGGAATGGCGGCGGCTACGTCCCGGACCCGATGGCCGAATGCAAAAAGACCGATCCGCGTGAATGGCCGGGGATGTATTCGTCTTCTGGGAAGAAGCCGGGGACTGTAATAATTAAATCCTAAACGAGGCCATTTCTCCTTCGGGCGGCCGCGCGGCAAAATAAAGCACGACGAGGCCCCTCGGAGGAGAGCCGGCGACGGCCGGGACTCTTGGAGAACAATCATTAATTAAATACGCCGTGAAGCAGGGATGAAAGAGGAAGCACTCTCCCGGACCAGGTACGGAGGAAGATGGTCGCAGGTGTTGCTAGTTAGTAACAACGATTCAGCGGCACCGTGGACGGCGGGGCGGTTGGGAGGAGGAAGCAGCGTATCTCCTTGAACGTTGAAAGTAAATCGGAGAAGTAAGGCTGCTCTTCGGCCGGAAATGAGCCTTGCCGAGTACAATCTCCGGTCAGAGAGGGCTTCTCCATTTTGTTCTTTGTGATGTGTCCGCTATAATTGAAAATGTCCGCGCGGAGTCGAGGGACTCCGCTACCCGTCCTCCCCCTCTGCCCTCCGCCCGCTACCGCCCGTTCGTTTCTCTAGCCGTTGCACCTCGGCGAACTGCGCTGCGACCGGCACCCTTTTCACCTAGATCCTGTTATTATTGTTGACGGATACAATGCCGTGAATGTTACAATCGAGACCGAAGTTGTATTTAGTTCATGGACCGAATGAACGCTGTTCCGACGCGGAGCCGCGTTTCGAGCTCGTTCTTCCTCTGATCGACGAAAAAGCCCACTCCTCCCGCGACTCTGCGACAAATGCCGTGATTCCGGCCTGCTGGACGAACCAACAGTGTTAACCTCACGGCGACTTTGTTCCCGATGATACGGAATTTATGATTCCCGACGCGTCGTCTGCCAATCACGAGTTATCTCGTGGTGAACATCCACCGTGACGCGTTTGTGAAAGGTTCATTAACAAAGAGAGACGAATTTATTTATTATGTTTTACTTATTATTTATTTATTTATTTATTATTATTTATTTATAACTGGAAGAAATCTGCAGTTCTTTAACCCTTTGCAGTCGAAGCTATTTGAATTCGAAATTCAAAACATGATTACTGATCTACAGTATTTCTATTTTATACAATTTATTGCGATTTATGCATATGAAATTGAGCCTATTGGCAAGTACAATGCAATTTTAATAGTTTTTTTTTAAATATAAACGAGTCTGATGCTCTTAGAATGATTTTGAAAAATAGTATACCAATTTTTAGTGACGCCTCAGAGTCGCCACACGAGTGCAAAGGGTTAAATCTCTCAACGCCTTTAGCTCGACTCTGGTTTTACCGATTTCGATCAAATTTTTAACACGCTTTATATAAGTTATTGAGATCTACGAAAGGCGTTTTTTAAATTTTTGTTATAGGCTGAGATAAAAGAGTTAAAAAGCGAGATTTTTTTTAAATCATCCCGAGTAATAGCAAAATTTAAAAAAAAGGCATTTCAGTCATCGTCTAGTAGACTTTTAAAAAAGTTATTACGTTTTAGAAGGTGTACGGGCACTTTCGTGGGCCACTGTACCTGTAAAAAAAAACACGACGAAACATTTTTAATGTTCCATCTACCTGTAATTTAGACGAAATATTTTTAATCTCCTACCAATCTGTAATTTAGACGAAGCGTTTTTAATATCCTATCTGCACACCTGTAATAATTGGTGATCAGCCATTGCATGCCAAAAGCTTTTTATCCGCGAATGAAGAATAAATAAATAAGCGCATGGTGTAAAGTCCCGTTGCCTAATTGAACGCAGCACTCGAAACACGGGCAGAAACGAGTCGGTCAACAGATTCCGTTCCGAGGAAATATCGGTACAGGGTGGAAACAAGATGGCCGTTCCGGCCAATAAATCACGGGTCCCGATACACAATGACGAGCAGTCGCCTCTCGATCGTTTCTTCGTCGAGGCTCGGATCGATGTTGACGACGGGCCAATCGGCCGTTAAGTGTATCCTGTGCCTGGCGCAAAAAAGGACACGCTGTGCAATCAATCTTCCATAAGTCGTGGCCCCGAAGAAGCCAGGTTTCCTATTCTTCGATCGGACGAAGAAACGATCACGAGTTGGCGCGCTTGCGCGTGCGTGGGAGGTGGGCGAGATCTCGCTGGGCGTCGCAAGAAATCGTTGACCGTGGATCTCGAGGCACGGTGGTGTAGGTAATGGTCTCATCCCCCCGATCGAACCGAACAGGAAAACGAGTTTCTTCCGCGAGCCGTGGTTTTACTCCGGGCCTGTCTCGATTTATCAGGATGTTCGATTCGTCGTTCGGCTGCCGACGAAAACCAAACGATCTTGCACCTCACCGGTCTCCTCCCTTTATGGTTCTAGGTAGCAGCGAGGAATCGAGACCTGGCGGCGGGGATCCTGGTAAGTTGGGGGTGAAGAAACCGAGGCCGAAGGCTTCGTCGCCCAACCGACAGGGGCCACAGCAATGCCAGGTGAGAAGCTCGTCTCTTCTCTTATTAACACATTATTCGCCGGAGGTGGAAAGTCGACGTCGTTTATTTTTCGTTTGAATAACGTTTTATTTTCGTTTGAATAACATTTTATTTTCGTTTAAACAACATTTTATTTTCGTTTAAATAACATTTTATTTTCCGTTCGAATAACATTCTATTTATCGTTCGGACATTTGATTTTCATTCAAATTGCATTTTATTTTCGTTTCAGCATCTTCCATTTTTAGAACGCTAGTAATGGGAGATGAAAATTTGTATCTCTCATTTTTCAGATATTTATCACCTCTCGGCTTCCGTTTTCCAATTTTTACAATTACGGTATAAACTATTGCTGCACTATGGCGTGCAGCGTGCTAAAATATCCGATAAACAATGTGTTGACTTTTCATGAAAAGGTATATCTAGGCAAAACATTTGACAAGTAAACCGCGGATCTTTATGCAAAATAAAAACTGTTTCAACTGATTACAAGATACAGGAACTACATAAACAATGACTTCGTTTTTTAGCCCTCCAACCGCGAGCAACGCGGAATTCGCGTTCTAAATGTTTTGTAAAGTTCAGCAGAAAGGTACTAAATTTAAAAAATGTGAAACTCTAAATTCAGAACATTTGAAAATCATGTTACAGTGTCTTCATGTTCTTTAAATAATTTTCACTGTTTTCTATTTGATCGACTCATTTTCGTCGCAAGTGTATAAAATCTGTGGTCTATTTATAAGCTTTGAGAACAATGCGTACGCAATGATTTATATCATCATCATTTATTGATGATATCCAACTTGAGCATCTTAAATAATTTCACGATAAAAATATGGTAATTATTGACAAAACAGTACCAGCCTCTGATCTCGATGGCTTTTGGCACGTTGTCAAGATGATCCTCGGATCTTCATGTTGCATTAGCTTTAAAAAATATATTATCCATATCGAGGACTCAATTAATCCTACTCAATTAATCCCAAAAATTCCACTTTATAGTTTCAACATGTTCCTTTACGTCTTGAAACAATTTATACTTATCCAAATTATGATTATTATCTGCAAGAATAATCATACAATCGAACCGATCTTGAAAAAAAACCTTCTGAAACAAGTCATTCCGACTGATGGCTCTCTGTCAACTATTCTCTGTCGAGGCATACGAAACACGGATATCCAGAAAACGTTTGCTTCACTTGCTCAGCAATCGTACGAAAATTCGACGCTGTCGATTAAATTGAAACATTGATCCTTGATCGCGTTCCTCCAGCGACGACTCGAAAGTATCCGTCCATTGTCAACGATCTCTCGAAACAATAGCCACTCCGCGCGGAAAAAAAGAAGATATAAGAGTGCCGGGAGGCCGAAACACGCTTTAATGTCAGAGTTCAATCAGCACTCTGTCCGCGACCGGCGCGGCGCGGCGTCCCCGATGACGTTCGTTTGACAATTTTATTAAGCCGCCGCTGTTCGACAAAGAGAGTTCCCGGCGCAATCCCGGAGAACGTAGAAACAGTTCATTAGCGACACGCGGCCGATCGAATTAGGAGGCAACGGATCGATCGGCAACGAAGTGCGCCCGCAAACCGCGGGTTCACAAAATTCAACGACGGCTTATCGAGCGGAGGCTTTCATCCTCCCGTTTCATGTTTTCCCGGCCGTTTTCCCTTTGCGGCGCTGGCTACCACCATTTCCAACCCCTCCGACGTTACCCAGATTTTTGGCGAATTTTTGGTATCGTTGTAAACGCGCTGTTAAACGTACGAATGCATTTGTATAACAATATACTATTATTGTTACAAATATTGAGATTTTTCTCTGACAATGTTCTAGGATAGTTGTATAAAGGTGGGGGAATAATAATAGTTAATATAGAATAATTAATATATATTATATATATTAATAATATTAATATATAATAATAGCTAATAATAGTTAAATGCAAAGATACCAATAAATAAATTAATAAAGTCTTCCTAATTTTGACCACAATTGGATGCTTGTATAAATATTAGAAATAACGAGTAATTAAGGAATGATTGGAGAGAAGCAGAGAATATATACTGTTATTGTTATAGATATTGAGATTTTTCTTCCACAATGTTTTGCGACAGTCGTACAAGAGTGGGAGTATGTTTTAATAGTAGTGAAATGCAAGGCCACCAATATATAAATTAATAAAATCTCTCTAGTAAGTCCACAATGGAACGCTTGTATAAATGTTAGAGAAATGTAAATATAGTGGATGGTAGCTTCAATTTGTAGAACAGTACGAACGATCCAAAATTTTATTAAACGAAGTACTGTCCTGAAAATATACGGGACGTCTGTTTGTACATTTCTTGTGTTGAATTCTGAGAAATCTCACAATGTTTTGTATTTTATTAGTTCGCTTGTGAATTTGTGAAAATTATGCACAAAGAGTATAATTATAATTTAATTTTTGATCGCGAAATCAGCATGGGTGAAAGATCTATCATTGAAAAATTCAATTCAATTCCTTAACTTCGTAAATCTTGATTACACATTCTCATCTGCTTAATAATTGTTAAATACGGAATTGATGGGCGTTTAAATAAAAAAACGTACGATAAAAACGTCTTCAATGATACTGTTTGATCAACTTTCGTCGGTTTCACGGCATTGTTCTCGAATCGGGGTTCTTCGAATTTGTTAGCTTTTACTTTTTCCATCTATTTGCATTGGAAACTCGATCGTTATATTTCGCCATTCAATCCCTTCGCATCGTATCCAGCATTACTTTTCCATTTTCCGTGCAGATAGGATGAGTCACAGTGACATTGTCAAACTTCAGACGCCACCCTGACCCACATCGAATTCGCATTCGACAAGAGACAGGATCGAAGAAAAATCTACAAGCCTTTAGAAATCGAAGCTGAAAAGTTTCAGCAAACAGAATTCTCGTTCGGTATCCGATTACCCTAAATCACCGCTGATTTACATTGTTCCGAATTTGTTTTCGCTTCTCTATTCCTCTAATTAACGAACAGGTTGTTTCCCGCGTCAACTACGATTATATACACCAAATCTGTTGATCATCCTTAAGCAGCTCCGATTCGCGTTCAATTTATTTCCAACAAATAAAACAGTCAATTTCCTGTCGCCTCTTGCAATTAATCGCCGAATATTTGAGTTCCTTTCGACACGCTTTTATTTACCGATTCCCCTTTTGACTCCATTCGATTACTCTCTGCACAATCTGTAATTGTCTAACGACAGTTTTTAGCAGACCGAGGATCTTTATGCATTTATGGTTCACACGAATTTCTAGTAAAAGACGTCGGTCCATTTTAACAACTATGCAATTGACGATCATTCTAATAATCCTTGCTCGGCTCTATTCATTAATTTTTCAAAACATATTTTTGAAAATTCTTCTTGCGGATCTATTATCTTTTGCGTTGCTTCTGGCGCAACGACGATTTATTGAATGTAATTTCTATAAATTGAGTAATTGGATGACGTTCAAAAGTGCGATTGGATGAAAATGACCCAGTAACCGCAATACGCGGGTTAACGGAGATGAACATTTCTTTCACCTAGTTTTCACCACTAATGATGTTTCGATAACGTTGATCACGAAAGTGAGAATACCGCAATAAGAAATCTGCGGCCCGTATCTTTAAAAAGTTGAAGAAGACTTAAAAATGACAAAAGGTTGCTCGAACAGAATTCTCTGTGATCTTTTGGTATCCGGTTACCGTCAATCAGCGCAGATCCAAAGTTCTCCGGAGTTCGCTTTCATTTCTCGACGAACAGAAAACTGACGGTTCTTTCTGTTCGAACTACAATGGCGTCAACGAATTCATCTCCGATGGAAACGCGTTTCACGGGCTTCCTTGGAAGTTCCGCGATTTTTAATCCGGGCACGGATCCACTCCAGTTAATCAGTGTTTTCATATAGGAGAATACCTTGTTCGTTCCTCTTAATTACTGTCACAATTGGCTCTCTTTCCGTAGAACAGTTTCGCAGATATCCTCGTAGAATCGTGTGCCGCTCGAATCGCGCGGGTATTGTCGAATGGTAATCAGATTTTTTACCCTCCGGTTCTCTCGGAGGAGCGTAATTTAATAATTGCTGTTTGTCCGCTCCAGTTATGCTCCCCGGCCGGCGTTTTACATTCTCCCCGCGGTTCCCATTCGGCCGCAACCTAATTGTGGTGTTTCGTGACCGAAGATTTATCTTCGTAATCGCGGCGCAATTGGGCCAAAAGTTCAAGGCTGTCCTCCTGGTATCCTCCACTTCGTTAGTCGCTTTCGGCCCGATTCCTCTTGCCAATTGGCGAACAAGCTCGAGAGGAATTTGCGGATGAGATTTCCGACCGATCGAATACTATTGCCTTTGATTTTAATCAACGAGCCCCGGCGGCGGCCCGCGGCCCGTCGACCAAATCAAAGAAAACCGTGCGTCCATTCGCCGCGCAATATTTCTGATCCGTCCTGCTCTTTTATACCGATTGAAGCTCCCGTCATTAAGAGCCTCCATGGACGTTCGAATACTTCCGAACATTCTGGCTTCTTTTTTACCGCGTGGCACAGCGCACGGTCCTTATGGGCGTTCGGGGCAAAGCCCATAACTCTTCTGAACTAATTAAATTTCAGCGTAAGTACCCTTTAAGTACCTTTTTTTTAAAATAAATACATGGATTAGTGGACAAAATATATAATTATATTTTTAAAAAATCGTCGTTACCTTCCAGTTCATATAATTGTTTTACAATATTATTATATATAATATATTATATAAGAACCGATGATTAACTTCTGTGCAACAAAATTTTGTATCTGCTTGTTTTCTACGTATGGGTAAATTTCCCATTACGCGTTCCAGCATATCCATCGGAAGTTGCACCAATTTCATTGCGAATGTTTTCTTTCAATTCCCGAAAACCTAAACAACGGGTAATGGGAAATTTACGTAACCGCTTGGAACAGAGTGTACACAGCGAGGGACGCCGTTTAAGCGAAATTATCTT